ACCAATAACAAAAGCTAGTATGATAAGGTCTTATTTTGAAGGTCATTTTATATGCTACATAACATAGGAGAGTGGACATCTCACAACGTCAGGAAGTTATAAAAATATCGAGTCGTTTGATCGCAGCTGCCTCACCGAAAAAAAGTTAGGCGTTTTATCTCGCAAATTCTCCTTGTCTGACGATTATAAGCTTTTATGATTCAAAATAAATGTTTTATTATGACTCACAAAAGCTTTCAACGCGATAAAGCACAAACAAACAACCGATCGATCTATCAAGCTTAGCCTGGCCTGATTCGATGTGGTGACTTCTCAAACGGAAAATTTCCAAAACGCTTGAACAACGCGCGCTATGGAAAAGCGTTTAGTATCATATGAAAGAGAAAACCAATGTGCAGTCAACTGTATAGTCACATTTCAGCTTTACAATAGCTGTAGACGTCCAACAGCTGATAGAATGAGAGAGTGTAAATATTTTTGTTATTTTTTGACGTTACGAGAGACCTCTTGAAAGAGGTGTTTTAGTTTACGGTCCTCCAGTGACATCTAGCGTATAGTACTCTAAAATACCTTTCCAATGGTATATAATTATTGTATATTGGGTAAATTTTGGGGGTCGTATGACATTAATAAAAATGTATTCAAAATTGGGCTCGATTGGGCGTCTGAAACAGGTTAACTATTGAAAAAAAAAAACTTCGATATTGTGCATCGTTTTGACTTCGTTATACGACAATTCAAACGATGTCATGTAGTCACAAACACTTATAATAAAATTAGTTGGACTCGTAGACGTATTAATCGAAACGCATAATTTTGTAATCTCTTGATATTATTTAAAAGTAATTATTTTATTCACAGACGTTTGCATTTACGCGACATTATTTTAATTAGGCACTACCAACAGTAGACTGAATATAATGATTCAGAAATACATCGTATATCTAACCATATAGGTCAGTATACATCGGTAAAAAACGAAAATTAAATTAGCAAAATTCGAGAGCCGTGCCGATCTGTGCGTGACTTTCTTTGACGACATATCCAGACATCTGACGTTCTCACGCATCGAGCTCGCAGACGACTCGACGCCCCCGGTTTCACAGACGCCTATTCAAATTTTGGCTTTTCCGGAATGTAGACGCAAATCCGGATTCGGGATAGTGTGCCGTACTGATATCGGCTAAAATATACGCATCAACAATTTTCTGTGGAGCGTAAATTCATGGTGTCAAATGCTGGAAATGTAATTCAATTAAATTTATTAAAAATGGCAATTAACAAAAAGCATATTCATTCGATTTGACTATTTCAAATTTCTCCATTTGGTACGGCAACATCGTTCAAAATAGAAAAATTTTAGGCAGTCGAGAAATTTAAAAATATATGCCCAGCAATAAATAACAACAATCATTGTTGCAAGTGAGTTCTGTTTCGTGAATTTAACGAAAGTAATTTTAATAAAGTTGCCAATTGCCAAATCGGTGTTTTGTCGTGATTTATGCACGACCGACATTTAAATAGGTTAATTTAATGAAGAATCCGGAATGTCGATAAGACGGCTCAACCATATGGCAAGCCACAGCCTCTCGCCCGGTTACCATTCCATGTCGGGTATGGGATTAGGTATTTGTTTTCGGAAACATGGAATGAATGTTGGAGGAAGCCGTAACCAACCAGCGGTTACGTGAAGCACCCTACGGCGGCGAGGAGTCCAGCAATCCTCTCACACATAATAAACCCACATGGGATCTGCGAACTCACGCGAAGTAATTAGAGGTGCGGTGGCGAGCGTATTCCTAACGCTTAGCACGATGAGCCACACCGCCAAATTGGGTAACTTCTAGGGATGGGACAAGTCCGGCATTACAGGGATTTGATAAATCCTAGTAATAGGTTAAAGACTCGAATCGAATCCTTCGAGCCCGTGACGTCACAATGTAAAAGCAGCAAAACACGTTTTTGACCATTGGCCGTAACCGCCAATATTTATTGGCTGTAAACCGCCGATATATATCGGCCATACTCGGCGAGCGCCGGGCTGCATGCTGCAACGGCTCTCGCCCCTGCGTAACTGGTTTCTCAATATTTCTCTCGCTCAAAATATGATCTATATCAATATCGGCAATGCGCTATCGGTTATCGGCCACTAGCTGGCCGATATCGGTATTGGCGTCAAAAAGTGATAACGGTCGAGCTCTAACCGCAACGCACAGAAAGAACGAGGCTTCCGATGCAGGTGATTTAATCAATGTCGCGACGAAAATGCATCATTTGAAACTTCCGTCTTCCTATGTTTACATCTTTCGTTCGGTATTTTCGTTACATCGGATCAGTATAGTAAGAACAAAAATAGTCATTTTAATCAGAAAATACAAACGTAGATATATCTGCTGCACACCGTTTTAATCTACAATGAAATATTTGAACGGCCTTGTATTGTATGTCTTTGAAATATTAATATTTTCGACGGATAGCTTTGTTGATGTTACAGTGATATCTTTATTAGTGATGAATTTATATTAAGCACACGGCGAACCCAATTGTAAAGTTTAATCTCCAACTTAATCTTGTCATCTTAACATTGAGATAGGGCCCAGGATTCCTGTTAGGAATTATACTAATTTTTCACTCGCTCACCCAAGCTGTATTCAAAGTCAGTATGGACACTGGAATTTTTCTAGTTTTTATATATTCAATTTTTGACATCATCGATTAAGTAAGACACGTATTCTCTTTAATGTGATTTTGGCATATATTCATTCACACATGGACCGAACAAAATACAAAAATATTACATTGGAACGCCGTCTTTATCTGAACGGAAAATGTCAATTTGACGCTGTTATGTCGAGCGTCAAAAATCATTTCCGCGGCGCAGTGTGACGCTGTTTTGGAAGTGAGCGAAAAAGGATCTACGTGATGTTGACGTAACTTTTGACGCACTGTGAAATCTCAATATTTTTACGGAATTTGTAATTCAGAACTTTAGGTTTTATTCAAATCTCATATGACATCTTGCACTTTATCACTCTGATAAATTATATACATTGTTATCGCCTTCTACTAATTGATGGCATTTTGACGATGATATCTTACATACTCGCAGATAGGTCGCAATTTTTTCTTTATATTTTTTTAAAAATATATAAATCCGCTCAAGCTCAACATAAGTGCAAATCGCCACCAAGTCGGAACAGAATTGTAAGTTTTCGGCTATTGCAAGTACCGTATTTTCCGGCTAATAAGTTGATTTTCAGGACCTACGTTTTTGACCTAATTTTCTGGGGTCGGCTTATTGGGCGGATATAACGTATTTATTCGAGTATAATGCATAAAATTTTATACTAATTTTCAATAAAAAATTAAGGGTGAGCGTTATAGGCGCGAATTGTAGTGGAAATGTGCTATTGCAATTGTTGTTTTATCGAATACGGGTGCATGCACGCACAACAGTTTCATGAGCGCACATGCGACTGCTCAGCGTTGTACAACAATTGCACAAATCATCCGCCATTAATTACTGCTTATGCAAACAAACCACATTGTCTTCTGCACGTGCACCATTACAGTAAATGCCACTAGCGCGTAAATAGGACGAAAGACTGAAGAGAATGTTTGTAAATATTTTTATAACATTGATAAAAATTTTTAAGACTATATCTGAATTAAATCATAGATCTACAGATAACTGGCACATCTTAAAAAAGCCTTAAAAATGAGTATTGGCAAAAAAAAAGAGTTATTGAAATAGGCTTCAAGTTAAAGGTAGTGGACTATGCAGATGAACACAGAAACATGAAGCAGAAAGAGAGTTTGGTGTATCTGAAAAGCGTGGTCAGAGGTTGGAGAAAACAAAGTTTAAAACAATGCTCAAAAGTAAAAGGGCTGGGAGCAGGCTTTTTTAAGCTTTCTCACGTATTGTAATGACTATGAATAGAATCGGAACTTTGATTGTTCATATTCTGTGCGACCGTCCTTAGTGTTACTACACATTTGCATGTTTGCGTGGGTGGACATTGCCCACATTTTTCTACAAGACATTTATTTAACACATTTCGACAATTATTTATAGCTGCAATTGTTTCGATATCCAATGAATAGTTGCAAGTCGAAAAAACAAGTCGATTTATTAGGAAAAATACTTTTACCCGCTTCCTGGCAAATAATTTTGATAACGATAGTTAAAAGTATCGATCCTTTACCAGGTGCGCAAAATAATCCAATCTATGACAGATACCAGCATTTGAAATGTCATGCTGTATTAATTTAATTCTGTTCAACGTAACTCAATGGTGTATCGACAGTCTGTAGACATGGAAATGTGTGGTAAACTGACCGATATTCCTATATTCATATTTATAAAATTCTGAAAGTATTGATACCAAATACCACTGGTATTTTTGGACATGAAATGTGTCGGATTTGTACTTACAAAATAATAAAACTCGGCGATCTGTAGACTTAAAATGTGTGTTAAACTGCCAGATATTATTCATATTTACTAAGTAATAAAAGTATTAATACTCTAACATACTATGAGAATTTGTGGACACAAAATGTGTGGTAAAACTGCTTGATTTACTAACATTTGAGTTATGTTAATAGAATTAAATTAACACGGTAAAGGCATTTTTAAATAGTGGTATCGGTCATGGATGCGAATATTTTGCGCACGCACAAAATCATCCTAGTAAATAAGTCCATACTTTTGAATACAAGCCAATGGCCAACCATTATCCAAATTATTTCCAAAAAAGCGGGATAAGGTTATAAATATTCTGAGTATGAAAATAAGAACCAAAAATTAATTGTCTTGCGCAATCTTAAAACATCATCATTGAAATTCTACGAAAAAAATAATCCGATTTACCCAAGAAAATTTTTTTTTTTTGGTCATGTGATGGCCATGATTAATATATTCGAGACAAGTATTGTGCGATATGATGCACCTGCTGTCGTGCAAGACGCCCCTCTTTTGTGGGACACAATTGAACCAAATGAAGGGACATTCTTGGAATTTGGAAAGTGGAACAGGGTAATTGTTTGCGCCATTGAACCTTAGATTTCATGCTATCCTTGGTGTTGAAAGAAAAAAGTTAATACCAGCAAATGCTAGTTGAAAAATCAAGTATTATTGAAAGTGACATAATAATATATACAGACATACTGGTACTGATGAAAATATAAACTTCCATATCAGTAATTTTAAAAACCGGAATTTACAGCATTGAAGAGCACTTTGCCTTGTTTCTTATTATCCTAAAATGCTATTAACAAATTTCAATTTAGGATTCTGTATAAAGTTATGATTTTATACATCACCAAAGCTACGCTCAAAATAAGGAAATTAGGAATTATCCAGTTGGTATGAGAAATGCAGATCGCGCGGGAAATTTAAACCCTGACTGGAATGAGATAGCGATCGGAGACCGCCAACTTATCAATCTAGCGGCGTGTATCCTTCGCTCTGACTCAATAGCGATACTGCGAGTCCCATCACAAATTAATCAACAACTCGCTAATTATACGACATAATTCATCCAAAACTAACAGGCTTCTGGTCCGAGATTTGATGAATGCACATGCAAAACTTGGAGCCTTCGTAAGATATCGCGTAACCGACGAAAGTGTCCAACAGACAGACAAATACCTATCAACATACTTACGAATCGGAACATGCTCAAATCTCGCACTTTTGCATTATTGGCGGCGTCTTTTTATAAAAGATCTTCAATTTTTTATGAAACAAGTTTTAAATGATATGATCTGTCTATATTTTTCTGTGGAAGCTTAACTGGAAAGTTAGGAATCTTGCGGATGCTGTCTGGTATTCAATATCGATACCGAGTTGTTTATATTTATCTTGTGACACAGATAAAAATATTTCTATTTACTAGTCCCATCCAAGGGTGTAAGTATATCCCAGGTTACCAAATTTCTAGATTATGCTTTCACACGAGTTTACCTAGTCTGTGCTTTCAAGGAACTTTTAAGCAGTTAATCACAAACATAAAAGACTTTAATGATAATGGCCAGCAGTTGAAAAATTTAAAATATTTAGATAGATGGATTTTATTTCAATCCATACGCAAAAAATAAAACAATACACAAAAAATAGAATGGAAAAGAATTTGTTTATTCTTATTTTTAGATATTCTTCATTACAGAAAAATAATATCGAAATCAAAGGATCCAACTAAGACATTTTTCTCTGCCTTATTTGTGATGAAAACTTTCCGTCATTCAGGATCACCTATTCATCATGATGATGAATTTGTATCTGGTAACACTGTGGGAACTAGTCAGCCAACCAACTCAGATGATCATTGTGGGAATGTCATCACAAAGGAAACCTATTTACTTAGTGGGGGTAAAGTGAAACTCGATGTTCATGCACAATGTAAAGACTGAAAAATCAGATAATTGTGGAGAAATTAACATAACTTTTGTATCACAAGGGAAGTTAAAAATTCAGTCACTTGTTGATACCAACAGTGGGGATGGACCATATGTTTGCCAAACATGTGGGAATGCACATGAGAACTCATACAGGGGAGAAACCATATATTTGTAAACAATGTGGGAAGAGTTATTCGCAATCATCCTATTTAAATGTGCATAAGCGAACTCATACTGAAGAGAAACCGTATGTCTGTAAAATATGTAGAAAGGGATTTTCACAATTACCCAATTTACGTGTACATGAACGAATTCATTCTGAGAAAAAACCTTATATCTGCAAAGAGTGTAGAAGAGATTTTACACAGTTAACTCACTAAATAGGCATGAACGAAGTCATACTGGAGATAAGCCTTATGTTTGTAAAGAATGTGGGAAGGGTTTCTCACGATCATCTCAGTTACATTCTCATGAGCGAGTTCATACTGGAGAAAAGCCATATGTTTGTGAACGATGCAGAAAACATTTTTCGCAATTAAATAGCTTACGTAGACACGAGAAAACTCATACTGGGAACAAGCTTTTTGTTTGTAAATACTGCGCAATTGCTTTTTCACGAATATGCACTTTACGAGAGCATGAGCGAACTCATACTAAAGAAAAACCTTATGCTTGCGAACAATGTGGAAAGGGTTTTTCGTAATCGTCTCTTTTACATGCGCATCAGCAAACTCACACTGGAGAAAAGCCTATTGTTTGTAAACATTGCGGAAATAGTATTGCAGAAAAATCTCCTCTACGTAAGCATGAGCGAATTCATACCGGAGAGAAGCCATACATTTGTAAACATTGTGGTAGAAGCTTTGCGCGATTACACACATTACAAGTGCATGTGAGAATTCATACCGTTGAAACCCTATGTTTGTAAACAATGTGGTAGCAGCTTTACGCGATTGCCTGGATTACGAGTCCATGAGCGAACTCATACTGGAAAGAAACATGATTAATGTGGGAAGAGTACGTCAGATGAATACAACTATTGTCCTTCCTCTCTGGAATATACGTTTACCTAAACATTCACTAATGCGCATGGTTTTGCGATGTTTGTGAGCAATGTGAAAAATATTTTACGAAGGCATATTCATGGTCGCAAAGGAAGACGATGAAACAAGTATAACCTGTGTAACCTATTTTTTCCAAAACAGGGAATTAAGTCCTAATATGATATGTAAATATATTTTGAAATCTTTTTTAAGATTTGTGTGCATATTACAACACGCTCTAAATTTTTTTGTGGATTCACTTTTATTTGCAACAAGGTGGTTATTTCAGTGTACACTACCTCAGCTAAAACTCTTCCAGAGCAAAATAATCTACGGAACCATTTGATTTACAAATAGATGGGAAATATGTTTGAACAAGTGAAAACATTTCAATTGTTACACTACCTTTAATTTGTTGCCATTGGCTATTGTTAAGGAAGTGAATGGTTCTGGTCAAAACAATAACTGGTGTTAGACTAGTTATTTTGCGAAGCAAATAGCAGGAACATCTTTATAATTCATCCACTTTATTGTCAATAGTTATTTTTTTCTGTATGATTCAACCGAAACAAACAAACACTTGTCAGCCCAAAATAGGGTATTTCAATGATTACAGCAGTCAATATTCTTAGAAGATTCAATTCTCTTTTAAATGTTCATATTTTAGCCCAACTCATCAAATACTCAGAAAATTCATATGTAATAAGTAAATATGATAGACTTCCGGTTTCACTTTAATATTTCAGTATGTATTTCGTTTAAAAAAAATTATAAATTGTCTCCGTACCTGTGTGCTCAAAAGGTAGCAATTCGGAAATGTCTTGATTTGTTCAGTTATATTCATGTTACTTATCAACACAAGCTCTGTATCTGATTAGAGCAGTATAGAGTATGGTATTGAAACCGGGTATCGCATCGAGACTTTTTCACTAATATGTTTATATTATTTACTAGTCTCACTAAGGGGAATATATCCTAGTGAAATGACCTCAATGATAATAAATGCAAAATATTTACTCTCATTTTTAGATATTCTACATTACAAAAAATTATATCGAAATGCCCTATTCGCGATGAAAACTTTCCATCATTCAGGATCGCTTATTCATGATGATGAATCTGGTAACACTGTGGGAACTAGTCAGCCAACCAACTCAGATGATCATTGTGGGAATGTTATCACAAAAAAAAGTTATTTACTAAGTGGGGATGAAGTGAAACTCGATGTTAATGCACAATATTTAATGGGCAGTTTGATTCATCAAACTGAAAATTCAGATAACAGTGGGCCAATTAACATAACTCCTGTATCAGAAGGGAAGTTACAAATCCAGTCACTTGTCGAAACCAACAGTGGAAATGGAACATATGTTTGCCAAACATGTGGGAAGAAATTGAAAGGGAAGCATATTTTGAAAGTGCACATGAGGACTCATACTGGGGAGAAACCATATATTTGTAAACAATGTGGGAAGAGTTATTCGCAATCATCCAATTTAAATGTGCACAAGCGAACTCATACTGGAGAGAAACCGCATGTCTGTAAAATATGTGGAAAGGGATTTTCGCAATTATCTCATTTACGTGTGCATGACCGAACTCATTCTGGAAAGAAACCTTACATCTGTAAAGAGTGCGGTAAGGGTTTTTCGCAGTTAGGTCAATTAAATAGGCATGTACGAAGTCATACTGGAGATAAGCCTTATGTTTGTAAACAATGTGGAAAGAGCTTTTCACGATCATCCACTTTACTCGCTCATGAGCGAATTCATACCGGAGAAAAGCCGTACGTTTGTAAAAAATGTGGAAGAGGTTTTCCGCAATTAACTAGTTTATGTAGACACGAGAAAACTCATACTGGGGATAGACCTTTTGTTTGTAAATACTGCGCAAAAACTTGTGCACGATTATCCAATTTACGAGAGCATGAGCGTACTCATACTAAGGAAAAGCCTTATTTTTGTAAACATTGTGGAAAGGGTTTTTCGCGATCGTATCATTTAAATGTGCACAAGCGAACTCACACTGGAGAAAGGCCTTATGATTGTGAACAATGCGGAAATAGTTTTGCAGAAAAAGCTCAACTACGTAGGCATGAACGAATTCACACCGGAGAGAAGCCGTATATTTGTAAACACTGCGGTAGAAGCTTTGCACGATTACACACATTACACGTGCATGAGCGAACTCATACTGGAAAAAAACCTTATATTTGTAACCAAAGAGAAATGTAAATAATGTGGTAGGAGTTTGTGAAAAATGTTTCACAAAGGCATGCTCATGGATGAAAAAAGTAGATGACAAAACAAGTTCAACCTGTGTAACCTCATTTTTTTCCAAACTGGGAAATAAGTCTGAAGATGTTGTAAATATATTGTGTGATTGTGCGCATGATATCACACGCTTAAAATTTTTTTGTAGGTGGAAAATATGTTTGAACAAGTGCAAAAATTCCAATTGTTATACTACCTTTAATTTGTTGTCATTGGCTATTGTTACGGAAGTAAATGGTTTTGGTCAAAACAATGACTGGTGTTAGAATAGATATTTTGTGTTATCCTCAATGACGAACTAACAAACACAAAAATCAATATTAAAAAATTTTAGGAACATGTTAGGTGATGGAACAGTTTACCAGTTTTAATCAACTACTGAATTGAAAATGTTATGTAAATATATTTTGTGACTTGTGTGCATAATATCGCACGCTCAAATTTTTTTCCATTTTGCACAAGGTAGTTATTTTAGTGTACAGAAAACCACTTATAATCTACCTCAGCTAAACTCTTCCAGAGCAAAATAGACTACTGAACTATTTGATTTACAAATAGATGGGAAATATGTTTGAACAAGTGAAAAATTCTAATTGTTACGTTACCTTAAATTTGTTGAGATTGGCTATTGTTAGGGAAGTAATTGGTTTTGGTCAAAACAATGACTGTTAGAAATAGATATTTTGTGTTTTTCCTTGATGACGAACTAAAAACTCTAAAATCAATATTGCAAATTTCAGGAACATCTTTATCATTCACCCGCTTTATTGGACACGTAGTGGACATAACGATTGTTTCAAAATTTTGTTGTTATTGTTATTATTTGTCTCCATCATTTTTTTAAAAAAAAATCGCTTTTCTCTTTGACTACTGGACCAATTGCTTTGAAATTTTCAGTGAGTAAAGATTGATTTTTTTGCCAGAAGGCTATTTCTAAATTTCGCAATAAATCTGATATTTCGTCTAAAAATTCGCTGTATTATTTTATCCATGGGAACACTGGCTGCCCGGTTTGATTCTTTAAATTATTTCTACGCGAAACTCTGAATTTTTTGTGGGTACCGGTTGGTTAACGTGTTCATATATTTGAGCACAGCTCTCTTCTTGTTAATAGGTATTTCTTTGCGTGATCATGATTCTACCGAAATAAACAAAGATGCCAAAAAATACAGTATTTCGTTGAATGTTCATATAAAATGCAGTCCTCTTCTAGGTGTTCATATTTTAACCCAAAAGTGGCACTAAATTCATAAAAAACTCAATCCTCTGGCGTGAGAATTCAGAATGTGATTAGTAAATCTAATTGTCTGTTTCATTTCAGTATGTAATTTTTCTATTTGTTTCTGTACCTGTGTGTGGCTCTGGCTAAAACAATTTAGAATTTAATTGTAAATCTAATCGAAATAATAAATTGTACCTGTGGGCTCAAAAGATAACGCTTTGAAAAAGGGAACTCCTGAAGTATGCGCACCAAGATGGCGCACAACATGAACTAAGGTTATGTACCAGGTTGGGGTTCAGGTTATACGACATCTTGGTGCGCATACTTTAGGAGCACCTGAGAATGTCATGAATTTTTCAGTTATCTCCATGTATTACCACAAGCTTAAAATCTGATTAGAGCTATAAAGGATATTGGGTACTTCCATAGTATGTGTACCAGGTTAGGGCATAATTCAGTGGCGGCGCGTGGTCATTTTGACAACCGGGGCAAGCTACTGCGGGGCCAAGTCACCCCCATCTACGGGGACAGGATGAGCGCTGTAAGTTCTCCCATCATTTTAGGAGTATAAAAACCATTCCGTCGGTAACAACCAATCGGCAAAAGCGACAATTTTTAACGATGAGAAAGTGTCTTTAAAACCGGTCCAAGTCAAGAGATTAATAAATATAGACATAGTTTATTTTGAAACCTCTTTCAAAAGGAAAGGCAATATTTACCCAGATAAATACAAAGACATATTAACAGAAACTTCGGGAAAGCAGACAAAACCTAAAATAAGGTTTAAAACGTTACTATGAAGAAAGGAAAGCTAATGCAAAGATAAGGACATGCGTCGCTCGCTCACAGATATATATGCTGCTAGACTTCTACTGCTTGAACATATATGCAACACGCCGCGGTTTCTTGGAAGCAGAATGCTCAATAACGCGCTGATTAAAGTCATGCATCCCAGAAATTACGCCTCTGTGAATGGATAAAACAGCCAAGGAATTTAATCTATCTTGCTTCATTGTGTTTCTGAGATACGTTTTAATACGCTTCAGCGTGCTGAATGTTCGCTCTGCGTCGGCGGAAGAAATAGGCGTCAAAATGATGTCCAGAAATTTTGCAGACGCCGCAAAGGTAGTTACTAGAGATAGATAGATAGATAGAAGTTTATTCATCATCCAGTCATTAGCCAATAAATCAAACACAAACAACAACATACGATAGGTAAAAGAAGAATAAATCGACTAACAACGGAATTGATAGGAGGTTGGAAGGACCATACGGTCACTAAATCGAAACAACTCTCCTGGCATAAAAAAGGTTGACAGATTACATTTTATATTATACCAATTATAAAACATTTTAACATGTTGTAACTAACAATTGACCAACAAGAGTAATGTGACACATATTGAGACGAATTTAAAATAGAAGCGGCAAGAAAAAGCGTTTAGTTTTATATCACACAAAATAAAAACGTACAAGTAGAAAAGTTATGAATCAGTACTTATTCAGAAAAGACTGGAAATACTTCTTGGAAAAAACATTAAAACTGGGAATTTCCTTTAGGTTTTCGTTAATATCGTTCCAAATTCTCACACCCTGGTACTTTATGGAATTTTGGGCCCGCGAGGATGAAAATCGTGGTACAAATAATCCTCCCTTTCGAGATGAACGAGTACCATATGTATGTGCATTTTTTGTTGTAACAAAATATTGTTGTATTACGCGAGGGGCAGTGCTATTTACCGCTTGATACATGAGCCTTCCCATTTCATAAAAATATAGATCTTTTATTTTAAGAATACCAAGGATTTTGTAATAACTACTCAAATTTGCCCAGCGTGGCACCCCGCAGATGGCTCGTATTGCTTTATTTTGGATTAGCTGTAATTTGTTAAGACTGGTTTTGTCACAACAACCCCAAGTTACGATACCATACAGAATACAAGAATGAAATAATGAATAGTAAATGATTTTTAAAGCATGCAATGTCAAATAGTGTCTAAGTTTGAACATAATCCCAGTCACTCTTGATAACTTGCTATATAGATATTCAGTATGAGCATGCCATTTAAATTTGTTGTCAATAATTATCCCAAGATATTTCATGCATGACACTTCAATTAACATTTTATCACCAAAAGATACATGGAAAGCTTTACTTATATTTTTTTGGTGAGAAAGCATATAGGTCGATTTAGAATAATTTACAGTCAATTTATTTGCTCTCATCCAGGCATCCACTTTGCTTATTTCATTATTTATGAGAATTTGAAGAATATGAGGGCAGTGGTGGCTTTTAGCAATACATGTGTCATCAGCAAACATTCTGGTGTCACTATTGGTAGCATTATTTAAATCATTAACATAGATTATGAAAAGTAAAGGCCCCAGAGTGTTATCTATGAGGAACCCATAGAGCGTGCAAGTTGATGTGATGTTCAAAAAAGTTTGATTGGTGTATATACATCGCAATTCATTTTCCAATTTACCCACGTTTATAATGGGGTAAAATTTGGAGACAGTAGCCAACAAATGGATGGGAAATTGACGTGCAAATTTTGAAAAATTTTTGGGCTTCATCAAAGAGAACGCGGCAAGGTGTTCAGTGCGCAGACGATCGCCTATTTGATTCACCAGAATGTCACAGCATTCCTTTGCAGACAAAATCAAACGCTGCGTTGTTTGCCCACGGCGTAAAGAAGCACCCCATTGTCGTCGTATTTTATTGTTTCCCGGATACGAGATACAGCATCGCAGAAGTCTGAAATACACGACTGCACAGACGCTCCATCCATTAGCCTTGACTGCAATGCGCCGTATAATGCATCCACGTGATAGAATATTGTGGAGAAAAAAGCGAAAAAAAATGAAAACTCACCATCTTCTAGCAGACGCTTTAGACCTGCCGCCTCCCTCACAGAACGTTCGTCCCAAACCGGAGAGCTCTGAATGCCATTGAAAGACTCAATGAGCTCAGACCTAATTTCGGACACGCCCTGCACCACGCGTGATTGGAAGTTCCAACGTGTTGGTGCACAAGCTGGGAGACGGCGGCTACATATCTGGCGAAGGAGGTCCAGAGCGCTTCGGCGAAACGGAAAAAATGAAGAAAACCCCGAAACATTTTGCAAAAATATACGGACGAGAGGGGTATCAAGACACATATTTTAATAACGAGGTTAAATTGGTGTGCATAACAATGTAAAAAATGCGCAGAGGAAATCTTCTTTATATAAACTTGAACACCATGTTCGGACCCACTCATGACTGCCGCGCCGTCATAAGTTTGAGCTATCAATTTTGACCTTCGCGTTGTAAGGCTGTAACACTTCTTTCAGTACAGCCGATATCCCGCAAGCCGTGCGATCAACGATTGGTACAAAGCTGTTGAAATCTCTCGGTAGGTTTACCATCTTTCACAAACCGAAAATCCACAGCCAGTTGGGAACGCACGTGATGTCAGTGTCTCGTCAGACTGAATCGAAAGGAACTGGCAATTCTTCAATTCCCAGAGCCAATGTTGTAAATAAATTTTATACATTTAGTCGAGCAAATCATTTTGGATATCCTTAGAGTCCCTTTCGAAACAGTTGCGGCATCAAGATGATCTCTCAATACTGTATCTAGGATGCGGTGTATTCCACCATATCCAAAAATACCCTCTATTAGAAGAGCCAGCCCGTTCATTCCGTGCCCACGGAGGACAGTCGTGACAACCAATGAACTTATCTATCAATCGACGAGAACATGGCGGTTTTTCTCAACGTTTTGGTTGTGCCGACGAATAGAACCGCGCGTCTCTCATCAACTGTGCTGCAATATTACATTTCCGAATGTTCGGATATTTTACTACATTGTCCAGTGCTCCATAGAAGATTGATGATCCCTGGCACGCTCGGAATGATGTTTAAGATCTCTAAAACCAAATTACACCCAACGTGAGTCACGGGCGGTAGCAAAAAGTAGGCAATAAAAAACAAAAAGTGCATTTTTGTCCTCGCTGTAAACACAACCATTCGTGTTTTTTATACCAAGTTTCTGCGCAGAATGTACGCCGACGCTTTCCTCCGTCATGGGATGGTTCCAGTGAACAATTTTTTGGTTGATAAGGCTCAAGACGTTGTACCTCTAATTTTTGTTCCAGCGGCAGCTGCGAAAACGGAGTGCGAAGTAGTGCAATCAACCTTATTCATTATGAGGTCTAAGGCTAAGAAATGCGAAGCCGGAAAGAAGTGAGGAGCTCAAAAAGAATGTGGAAAATCGAAAGCAAATGGACTAAAGGTCTCTAACTGATTCAAATAGCAAAACAAGCGACAAAAACGAAGGCGAGGAAACTATCAACTCTTCAAAGCAACCAGACGAACGAGAAGGAATGCGTGAATATGTCAACACGTTGTTGTAAGAAACGTCGGCATTGTGTCGTCAATATTTCGGGGCTAGCCCCGATGATTTAGTAAAAGAAACAGAAAACAAACGAGACAAACGCGGCGAGTGGAAGATAAAAGAGAGAATACGATATACCATGAGCAACCGGGTAAAATCGGCGTCGCCCCGTCGACGTTCGGCGAAGGCTTTGCGAAGCGAAAAATGAACCATGTCGGGAGAATAGAGCTAGTGTAGACAGTCTGTGCAACCGATATTGAGGTATTTTTCGAATGTTTTTTATTA